ATATATATATAAATTTATTATATATTCTATTATTATATTAATATTATTATATTAATATTATCTGACCAATAATAATATTTTATCAATAGTAGAAACATTTTTCCGTAATTTTATTTTTTTCTAATATTAAAAATTAATTAGTTTTATTTATTTTTAGTATTACCAAAAAAATCATGTTCAGACCTTGTCCAGAGGGCATGACAAATAATGGACCCAACATGGCAATAGTGAATATTTTTTCCCAACTCCAATTTTTTTTCCAATACTAAAAGTCAATTAGCTCCATTTACATTTAGTATTGCCAAAAGAATCATGTAAAGCAAATCCTTTTCAAAGCAGCCTTCACTTTTGATTAGCAAAAACTTAGATTCCAGAAATCTGATCCAATTACCAAACAATTGATTTCCTTATAAAATCCTTATTAAAAAAAACAAGAAAACAGGTCCACAAAGGATACCCCCTTTGCAAGCCCCAGAATAGCAATAACAAACCTACACCAGACATAATAATAATGGATTTTTTTTTCCGTAACTCCAATTTTATTGTTCTCCTTCTCCTTCTCCTTCTTCTCCTTCTTCTCCTTCTTCTCCTTTTTCTCCTCCTCCTCCTCGTCCTCCTCCTTCGCCTCCACCACCTCTGCCCCCATTTCCATGTCCACTTCCGCCTTGCCAATTCTTCGCCAATTTCTCAGAAATCCAACCAAATTCATTCAGAATCTATCAGAAACCCAACAAAACCATGGAGAATCTATCAGATACATATCATGATCCCAACTATAAATTTCCAAAAATTATTATAAGAAGGTTGACCCCTCCCTAAAAAAAAAATAGGGGGATGGTAATTACTATTAGGCAACCAACATTAATATATTATTATTTTATTATTATCTTATTATTATGGTATTATTATTTTATTATTATCTTATTATTATATTTTTATTATTTGTTTATTTTATTGTTATCTCATTATTATTTTATATTATTTTATTATTATTTTATTATTATTTTATTATTAATTATTATTATA